ATTCAATAATTACGAAGTATATATATCTAAATGGCTATCTAATGTCCTTAAGTTTTCAGATTTATGATGTCCACACGGAGATTTGACAACTTTATATTTGTGACTTGTGACTTAGATTTATGGCTATTGTTATAGTAGTGTCAAAATTTCTGTCTAATGTCATTCAGTTTGATTTATGATGTCTACGGAGATTTGGCAACTTTGTATTTATGACTTATGACTTAGATTTATGGCTATTGTTATATTAGTGTCTAAATTTTTGTCTAATGTCTTTGACAGGTATTTCCTTCGATTCACCTCTTGAGTACTTGGAAGTTGGAATGTATAAATATTAAAGTGGCATGGAGCAAAATTAAAACAAACTGCAAAGAAAAGGTATAAAGAAACAAGACTAGAAGAATTATTCAGAATTTAGGCTGCAGCTATTGTTTATAATATGTTTGTACAAATGCCCAAGTCAACTATACTATTACTTCCAAATGGAAGTGATAATCTAATTGATGCACCTCCAGAATTATGCAGTTTTAAAGCATTGTGAATCATTGTTTGTTACTACCGCTAGTTTTCAAAAATTCAGACAAGATTGCAAGTTGAGGCTTCCAGTGTCTTCTATGAAGGTACTAAAGCATATATTGTAAGTTTACAACCTTTCTAAATGAATGTGACTTAAATTACAACGTTATGTTTGTTGTTGTTAATTTTTTTTCAAAGCAGGAGCTTTTTTTATTGGATTGGACTAAAACATATGAAATATTTTTTACTAGCAGTAAATTACCATTCTGTTGCAGATTCTCTTTTGTTAGAATTATATTAATATCCTTTTTGCAATATTGTGTAGGTTAAACTTCGTATTGGTAATCTTTCTCAAGGTGTGAAAGTGTGAAACATACTTTTTTGAAATCAGAGCTTCACATCAAAGGTATTCTCTTTTATATTCTCTAGGACTAAGATTAGGAGTGGTAGAAGCAAGAGCACCAGATTATTAATTTTTCACATTGTGTATTCCTATATGTTTATGGTTTGGCTAACACAAATTAAAAGAGTTTTTCAAGTGGATAGGTGAGTACCTTTTACCCTGATGGATGCCTCAAAGTAATGCCAATAGACTAACACAAAAATGTTTTGTGCAGCCAAAAGTAGCACAGTGTGTTCTATTCCATCGAAATGTGGTTTTCTGTAAAATTGCAATAATTTTCATCTCAGATGAATTTGGGAAATACGACGTTAGATCTCACATCTATTGATGTATATGATATGTCATAGCTATTAAGGTCTCTATTTATATCTGTTCCTTGTTGTTTGGCCACTAAAAATAATATTTAAACTTTTGATGCAAAAACAGTGTTTTTCCGAGTTACTCTTGGATGTTGATTTATTAACATTCAAATTTTATTATATATATATATATACTAAAATAGTTGGAGTAGGGACACTCAAGAGATTAAGTTGGAGCAGGGACTGCAAATGGTTAAGATATTCAAGGACCACACTAGCAAGCAGTGTATCCTTGATGATTTTGAGTTTTATGAAGACCGTCAGAAGAGAATTCAAGATAAAAAAAGCCAAACAACAGTTGTTCCAGAAGCAGGGTACTTTGGCATGCCAGGGAAAAGCAACAGAGGAGAAAACGAAAGAAACTTCAAACGGTGAACTCAAGCAGCCTCATAAACCAACGGAATCAGCAGTCACAGCAGCATGTGAATCCACTACCCAGAAAACAGCACATGTTGGCACTCAAAGTAATGGGGATATCAAACCTGCAGAAAGCGGTTTGGTTGCAAATTTGGAAGATGTGAAAGCGGTTAAGCAAATTGCACCATCAGAGAGCAAAGCTGCAGCAGATGGATCTTAGGTCGTGTTTTATATATTCCATGAAATAGGGCTGACCATGAGTAATACCTTGGAACACACACACACACAAATTAGAACAGGAAAAGAGAATCTTTTCACTACTAAAGATGGTGATGTATGAAATGTAGATCTATAGCATCTTGTAATATACTTTATTTGTATTGACTCTGAATATTTTGTATAACGATTTGGGTAATTAATGTAAATATTGATCTTTTGTTTTGGTTATTTATCAATATTTGTGTAATGGAACTAGTTAGGAGTAAACCAATGTATCCTACGTCTATGATATAAATGTGTCAAAAGCGAAAATTTCATGATACCAATGTGTCAGGAAAACTTCATTACACCAATGTGTCACTGTTTTGTAAAACATTATTGTGTCATAATTTGCTGACACTAATGTGTTTTATGATTAGTGACACTATATTTAGTGTCACTAGCCGACACTTTTCCCGACGTTTTTTTAGTGTCACAGAAACTTTCAGTGACATTAATTTAGTGTCACTGTAAGCCCTTTTTCTACTAGTGATATAAAACAGTCTAAGTATTTTATCACTACTACTGCAGTTAATAGAGATAAAACTAGGACAAGGTGAGAAGTTAGAAAAATGTTGATCGATTTTTCATACTTCTTACGGTTCAACATGATCCTCTACAATGGCGGATCCAGAAAATCAGAGCCACGGGGTCCCTAAACTAATGTAACTCTCATTAGTATAAAATTACAGAAAAATATTAGTAAGCATAACGCATCATCAGAACATTAAGATGATATAAAGAAAAAAATTACATATAAAAGTCAAAACAATTCTTCAATATATAGGTCATTTGTTGGAAATTTGTACATAAACCTATCTTTTTTATTCCATGCTGGAAATCCTATTCCCAGAAAATGATTACCACTGACTTCCCACGCATTCTTAAACAAATAACACGGTAAACAAAATGCAGCATCTTTGGTAATACTCTATTCCAACCATTTGTGCTCATCAAATCAACTTGAAACAAATCTACGTTTTTTTGTTGTCAATTATTTTAATAGGGAAATTATGATCCCGAGGTTGAAATGACCTTTTTTTACGGTAACTACGATGTACCTCATTTTGAACATTAGGATGAAATCAGCATGTTGTTCATGTAGATTATAGGCCAAATTAGTTTCACTTTCAACAAGTACTAGACCCAACAGTAGGAGTATTTACTAAAGCCGAATCATTCGAATTAATATCTTAACTACTCTCGGTACTCCGGATTTCTTTCAATATGAGTACACTACTGAAATATCTTTTCATCTGTAATCGTAAAATTTAAAAAAAAAAAAATAACATTCATAAATACATTTTTTTATTTAATCTTAATATTCAATGAAATTTTATACGAGTAAATAATTCAAAAAGAAATGAATTAATGAGAGGTGGTTGAGGTCTGAAGGGAGATACCGTACCGTATCTAAGATATGTTGATATCAATAGATTTGTCGTGGTTAGATGGGGTTTAAAAAATTGAAGAAAGGGACTTAATTTGGAGTTTCAAAATAAAAGTTGTTAAGGGGGGAGTCGAACCCTGCACCACGGGGTAGAGAAAGCATTAACAGCGCTCATATCGACCACTTATCTACTACAGCAATTTGATATCTAAGTCGCATATTTTTTATATATACATTTCAAATGCAAGTAAATTTTGTAAATATACATAATATATATAGGTAATTTTTTCGAAGTCCACGGGTCCCGGGACCTCATGGGACCCTTAGTGGGTCCGCCATTGATCCTCTATATATCGATTACCTGGAATCTATTATTAAAAGATGCAAACTTTCGTACCTCACTAATCTGAATGTATACGAATGTTAGTATGTACAAGACAAACCGCCGGCCACAAAACCAAGCGACACGTCCCTGGTCCTTCATGCGAACATACGTATACCTTAGATTAAAAGAGAGTGCACAATTGCTCAAAATAAACACACGTGCATTCAAGGGTACGTATACAAATTATCATATAAAATATTATAACCATTATTATGTTGAGACATTAAGACTGCCGTATAGCAGTAAACTTGGTCCCAAATTTTATAATAATACGTACTAATTATTTTAATAATATAAAGTTTCTTATTATTCAATTAAAATAAAATTTAGGATCATAAATGTTGAACACTTGAGCTATATTTCTCAATAAATTTCCAACAGCTACAATATGCGGGTGCACATATGACATGAGAGATAACTACATAAATATTAGTAAATAAATTATATCTCTTTTTAGTTAAATGGTTTTATACAAGTTTGATAAGTTTTTCTCCACAATTTCAAGAAGATCGTCTAGATGTTGATATTATGGTTGACATTGCAGAGAAAAAGTTGCCCAAATTGTACAAAATCATTCAAATAAGGAGATAGATAATATTTTATTTGTTAATATGTATGAGCTTATCTCTCATGTCATATGTGCACTATACACATTGTAGTATTGGAGATGCTCTAAGTCGCATGAGTTTGGAACTATAAGTTTGTAACAATTGGACCTAAACAATGATCCACGACTCGAGGATCAAGACACTGTGTTAAGATCTGGGGTTCCAACCTAAAAGGTCAACCTGATGGGAAGAGTAGCCCAAATCCTTATATAGTGTTTAATTGTTTTATAGCTTTCCGGTGTGGGACAAATGGTTCAACACGCCCCCTCAGCCTGAACCGGGATGGACAATATCGGAGTGTATAAACGGGCCAAACAAACCCTTACCCTTAACAAGCTAGCTTTAAACATGGCTATTAAACAAGCCGTCAAACCACAACCGGAATTGGCTCTGATACCATGTTAACGCAAGAGTGCGTAGTAAATTTAACGTAAGAATCTGCAGAAATGATGATATTGGAAGGAGAATGGACTTCCTTGCTTGCAGTTTTGCAGAGCTTGCTTCAGTTCATGAAAACGAATTCCATCAGCCGCCTCAAAACGTACCTTCAAATCTTCCCATAAATCATGTACGGAGTCCATATAGGCAATAGTTGGCCGAAGAGCAGTATCAATGGACGACATAATCCATGCGACCATCATCGAATTGACACTGTACCAAACCTCCGCCTCATTTTTGTCTTCCGGAACTGTGATGGATCCATCGAGGAATCCTAGTTTACCTTTCGCCCGGATCGCATATTTCATAGCAACAGACCATTCCCGGTAGTTCTCTTCCCCACGAAGAGTAATACCGCTCAAGTTCTGTCCCGGTATATTGGAACCATGAAGAAAACACGGTGACCAGGGATCGTGCATCTTCTTCCGTTCATTCCGCTGACCTGCAACGGTCTGCGAATTCACCATGTTTGTCGATCGGAAAATATCAAGGCCTATTGTGCAGGCCCCACAGGTGCATTTTGGGACCGTCCTGTACCCATCAAAGTCCTCCCAAATAGTTCTCAAATGCCCGTAGTACATTGACACAGTGTCTCCCGCTTGATATATTCGATCGTATGCCTCTGTACAGATTCCCGTCAAGCCCTAGAAGAAACTCATGAATCTTCTCCTTCTCTATGCTTTTAGCAATCTGCTATTCAATTTGGTGCGAACCTAGAACGCATGTATATATTTTTATTGTTTATAATAATGAAATTGTTCTAAATAAAAATAAAATCATTTTGAAATATCATAATACGAGCACTGTGCTTTTATCTCCAACAAGTAGAGAATTACTAAAATGCTTTGAAGACGAGCCATAGTGACGCACTATGTTTACCTGAAAAATGTAATACTCATATAAAATTCCTTAAATGGGATTTAAACAATGATAAAGTTCATGATCATCATTATTTTATTCTCAAAATATGACTCATTTGTTTCTGTTTTGAGAAATTTTAATTAACTTGGGAGTTATAATAGAACATTAGGACTAAATACCTCATATTTGACAGATAAAATATACTCGGTCTAATTTTACACTTTGAGTATATTTTGATCATACATTGAACGATTTTTATATTTGGAGAATTTTACTTTACGTTTACTTTGATTTTCCCTTCATAACATTAATGTTCTTTATTCTTTATTTGTGGTGAATTTATTTAATCTTATTAATTGAACAAAGTGGGGTACCAGGCCTTCTTCCAACTTAATTTGAGAAATCAATGAAGTGCCTATGCTTTCCTAGCACTGGACCACTGGTCACTGGTTGATGCAAATTATAGGCTATTTAGCCATTTAACCCTTAATTTTTTTTTTTTTTTTTTTGAAGGAAATTTTATTTATTTATACTAAGCTTTAAATGAAAGGAATTTAAAGCTGAATGAAGAATGCAAGCCAAGACCAACACAACGTATCTAGCGAACCTTTTGCAGACCTGCATTGACAACAAATCCCACACCGCCGGCAAACTTCTCCATGGCCATGTCGTCCGGCTGGGCCTCTCTTCCGATACTTTTCTGGCAAATCGCATCACCGGAAGTGTGGTCTCACCCAGTCCGCCCGCAACGTTTTTGATCAAATGCCCCATCCTAACATATATATTCCTATCATGCTATGTTGGGGGCTCACTGCAAGGCGGGCCAGTTAGATCATGCCACCCAATTGTTTGACAAAATGCCTGAGCGGAATAGTGTCTCGTGGAACACTATGATCAGTGCTTTAGCCCGAAATGGTTATGAAAGAAAGGCATTGGAGGTTTACTGTATGATGATTTCAGATCGTTTTGAGCCTACCCATATCACCTTTGCGAGCGTTTTGAGTGCTTGTGGTGGACTGAGGGGCATGGAGTTTGGGAGGGGATGCCACGGGTTGGCTGTAAAGTGTGGGTTCGACAAGAATGTGTATGTAGGAAATGCTTTGTTAAGTATGTATGTGAAATGCAGCTGTGGTGGGGATGCAATCAAGATCTTTGCGGATTTGCCGGAACACAATGAGGTTTCCTTCACGGCTATGATATCAGGTTTGGTTGACATTGATCAAGTGCAAGAGGCTTTTGACATGTTTAAGTTTATGCAGCGGAGTGGATTCATGATTGATTCCATTTTGTTGTCAAGCTTTCTCAAAGTTTGTGCTAAAAGTGATATCCCTAACTTTTTGTTTGATGACCAAATCAACGCTTGGGAAACTAGTAATGTGCAGGGAAAACAAGTTCACAGCCTTGCTATTAAACTTGGATTTGAAAATGATCTTCGGCTGTGTAACTCATTACTTGACATGTACGCCAAGAACAAAGATATGGCAAGTGCTGAAGTGATCTTTCAGGGCCTGCCTGAAGCTAGTATTGTTTCTTGGAATATCATGATAGGCGGATTTGGTAAAGATGGATATGCAACTGATGTTGTAGTAGGGAGTGCGCTAATCAATATGTATTCTAAATGCGGCGATATAGATGGGGCCCGTCTCTATTTTGACATGATGCCTTGTAAGAACACTATTACTTGAAATGAGATGATACATGGGTATGCACAGAATGGGCAAGGAGAACAAGCTTTTATCTTATACGAATACATGATCCAAACAGGGAATAAGCTAGATGGTGTAACATTCATTGCTGTTTTAACTGCTTGTAGTCATTCAGGATTAGTAGATAGGGGGATTAGCATTTTCCACTCGATTCAGAAGGAATACGGAGTGGAGCTCCTTATTGATCATTACACTTGTATTATTGATTGTTTGGGTCGAGCAGGCCGGTTTAATGAAGTTGATGAGATTTTATATAAGATGCCATTCAACGATGACCCTATTGTGTGGGAGGTATTGCTTAGTACATGTAGGGTTCATTCAAATGTCAGTTTAGCAAGAAGAGCAGCAAACGAGCTTTTGCGACTGGATCCAGAGAATTCTACCCCTTATGTTCTTCTAGCCAATATGTATTCATCTTTGGGAAGATGGGATGAATCAAAGGTGGTTAGAGAAAGGGTGGTCGAAGAGAATATAGTTAAGGATTCCGGTTTTAGTTGGGTGGAGAAACAAAGTGGATTTGAGGAGAATGAGGTCTCTATTGTGGCTTCCTGAAAATGATGAAATAGGACAATTGAGGTCTATATTGTTCTTCCTGAGAATGATGAAATGGGACAATGTAGAAGGTGTCACATTTGAAGAAAATTGTATTCCAACACCCTAGCTACTGGTGGTAATGTTTTTTCTTGTTTCTTATCGTTATTTTAGATTATTTCTATGATCATGATTTTGATTATCCACTCATTCCTGGTTTTTAGTGGGATATATTGGGGCCAGAGATGTATGGTCTAAATTCTAAATGACGGTCATAGGTGAGGGACGTCATTAATTTTATTTTGGACTATAACATGGCTCCCTTGAATTATTTCATGGGGGTGTACTGTATCGACTATCGATTATATTCGGGGAAAATAAAAGTTGATTTATCCCTTATTAAAGTTCACAAAAGAGTAACTAAATAATAATGGGAAAACTAAAGGACTATAAAACATAATACGTAGTATGATATTGCAGTATTATGTAGGGGAAAAGTAACTGAAACATAATTACGAGACTGAAAGTGATTATCTTAACAATTCAAATATCAAACGTACTATTATTCCCGTGTAATTGCAGGATCATAAGTGTTTTCCATTTATGTTTTACAGGAGTCTTTGTAAATTTTTCTTTTGCAGGAAAGGGAAATTCCATAAGCTCAAATGATTCTGGCTGGTCTGTACTCTGATGCCTCTTAGTGCTATATTGCCCTCAAGTTACACTTTATGCGTGCTAGCATGTGGCCATCAAATAATCAGTCTTCACCCATGGCAGTTTTAGTTGTGATGCTCATAAATCATAACCTCCATCTAGGTTATGCCATCTTTGAGTTCTGGTTTGCCAATTGCCATTGTCATGCTACTGCTGCTCTAGAATAGTTAAGAACATGGTCCTAGTCCCTGATGGTTTTTAAACCAAATGCCGAACCGGTAGGCCGGTCTTGGATCGGAGCCTGTACTGGTGATCGGGTATTTGCAGTCTAGTAGTTAACGAAATAGGGTAGGAATCAATCAGGAACTGGATACAAAACCCTTGGTTTTACCCAGCCCAAAAACAAGTCCGGTAGTACATGTTACAATTCTAATCAATAGGCTATCATCCCAGATTCCCGGGGAACTAGACTGTGCTTGAAGTCTTGAACATTGCTAGTCTGGAATCTGAAAGTGTCCATATATATACTCAATTGGGTAATGATCTCATTATTAACATTTATAAGGCATACTTTGATTTTTTTAGCTTTTTACATGTTTGACTCATGTTTGACTAATATTAGCTCCCTAAATCTCTTGGGGAGAAAGGCTTGGATGTTGTTGTTGTTGTACATGTTTGACTCATATTTTAAGTATTTCTGTATTACAACCATGTACTAAGGTGTGTTATGCTAGTTGTTACATTATGTTTATTAATAAATATACTCTGATCTATCTAGAAACCGTACATTCAATTGAATATTTTCTATCGCTTTATTCCGTATTATGGTTATATATATATCACTGTGTTACGCTCATGTTTAATATTTCGAAATCAGCCAATGACATACGAGTGCAGGAAAGAATGATACTGCGACTGTTTTTACACCTAAAAGAATGGCCGGTGATAAAATACCAACCCAAAAGGTGGGTTGCGAAATGAAATTCATTTATCTATTCAAAAATCCAATCCCATCCGAACATTTGCCTTATTTTCTGTTTTCATTAGTCTATTTTATTTTGTGTTTTGATTTTCTATTGAAAAATCTAAGCCGTATTTAATACGGTTTACTATGTAGAAATGAAAATAGGAAAATTCATCTGAAAACAATACCGGTATCTAGGGATGGACCCGGGTCGGGCCGGTTCCAGTTCGGGCCCGGGCCCGGCCGGGCTTTTATTTGGGAATGCTGGAATCATTGTTCTAAAAATCGGCCTAGGCGGACCGATTAATCGGCCTAGGCGGCCTAGTCGGCCCTAACCGTAGAGGCCGAATCGGCCTAGTCGGCCAAAAAATCGGGCTAGTCGGCCTAAAAATCGGCCTAGTCGGCCGCCTAGGCGCTAGGCGCCCCTCAACCGCCTGACTAGCGCCTAGCGAGTTTTAGAACCATGGCTGGAATCGGAACCGGTTCGGGTAGCCGGTGGTTCCGGGCCGGTACTGTTTGTACCCGCCCCGGCCCGGTAACCGATCTGGGTGCCGGTTCGGGCCAACCGACCCGGTTTGATAGCGGTCCGGGCTCGGGATCGGGCCTGCAGAAACGTGAACCGGCCCGGCCACAACGGCCATATTTTTAAAAACTTGTTTTTTAAATAATTAAAGGCTTCTAGCCATTGGGACTGTTCCCAAACGGCTGTATAGCCGTTGGGGGCATAGGAGGGGGGATTTGGGGGGTGGGGTGGGGTGGGGGTGGGGGTGGGGTATACAAAAAAAACCTATTTAGACTCCTATTTTCTATACATTTTTACACCTCTTCTTCTACAACTCTTCCTACTCTCTATATAACAAAAAATTGTTCATGTTGGAAGAGATCATATATAAATAGGCAAAATGTTGTTCTATACATTACTCCTTATGATCTATACAATAATATACGAAATATGTTATATGTATATTAGTGAACTCATAGAGCACCCAGAGCAATAACTCATTCACGAAAATCCCATTATATTAGGCCAACCATTAACTAAGCCTACAAATATTAAAACACTTATATATTTGATATTTTTCTTATTTTATATTTAAATATTTCTATGTATATTGTGTGTGTATATGTAAAAAATTATAACTATAATTATATCATCACGGGTCGGGTCCAAAACGGGTCAGAACTTAAAAAAACCATATCCAACCCATTTTTCTATCATTTAATGGGTTCGAATCCGGGAAACAATTCTAAATTCAGACCAATACCCTCAAATAAAATGCCGGATTCGGATCGGGTCTGGGTCTAGATCCAACCCATTGACAGTCCTAATTATGGAGGTTGCACGACACAAAAATGCTTTTTTGGAGAGTGTTGAAGTTTATTCCTTCAACCCGTGGACCCAACACGTAAGCCCAAAGGTTTCGAGTGGAGTGAGTGTATGAATGTCTAGCCCAACAACTATTAGATGAATCAGGAAACAAGAGTAATAGCAGGCAATGTAAATAGGTATTATTAACTCCGTAATAACTCCCCTAAATACAATCTACTTGCTAGACAAGGCACGTCGGCCGTTCGTCTTACAGGGCAGTTAGAATGCTGCGAGTAAGAATGCTGAAGCTAGTATGCTAAGAATAGGAAGTTGCCAACCCTTTACAATGGAATAAATGCTTCTATTTATACCCGCCAATGGGCAGGTGGCTGTGGTGACGTGGCAGCCTGTGGACCGCTGGTGTCCCAACTACCAAATCTTTAGCATTAAATGCACTTCCCGCCAGAATCTAGGTTTCCCGCCGGATTAGTGGGGACGTTCGTCCACCGGGAAGTGAGTTGGATTGCTCCAAGGGACCCTTGGGAGATATCGGCTGTTCGTCTCCTGGCCTTGATGGATACTCACCATGTGGACTGGGTTTCCCCCGATGACTGCAGGCTTGCTCTGTGGACGTTCGTCGCCATCCCTGGTGGCCCGTGGTTCTGCTCCTTGTCCCTGCATAGACGTTCGTCGGGATGAGCTGCTGGGCCTGAGTCCTCCAACACCAGACGTTCGTCCATCCTCAGGGAACCTGGGCCTGTGGGCTGGCCTAGTGTCCTAACTGGACGTTCGTCTGGCAAGATGGGTTAGTGGGCCGGACCTCGGCTTGGGCCCTTAACCCAACACAAGTCCCCCACTTCTGATGTTCTGAGCATGCGCAGGACATAAGGAAGTATGAACCTCCCCGGAGTAGACGTCCGTATCTTGGTACTTGTGTTTCTTGCACCTGGTGGAAGCGTACGTTCGTGGTCATGGTGCTTGACAGCTGTTGACGGTTCAGGAAACGAGGTGACGGCTGATGTTGCGGCGGCGCATTTTCCCGAGGAAGTGTCATCATTACGTTCCCATCCCACGCACAGCGCGTGGGCCGGAATACGCTCCTTGCCACGTGTCAGCCCCTCATTGGTTTCTTCATCGGTGCTTCTCCTATAAATGCTGGGTTTTCCCTCTGAATTAGGGTTCCCAATTTCTGCTCTCTTGCTCTCGACTTCCCGCAGCTCTTCAAGTTTTCTGAATTCGGCTAACCCTTTCGTAAGGTAATTCCCCCCCTCTGCTTCTTTTCCTTACTCTGATTTCTAGTTGGGATGACTTCGATGGAGATTTCCTCAAGTTCCGGTTCCAGTTCGTCGGGTTCCTCCTCGGGCTCCTCCTCTGAAAATGCGAATGCACGCTCCCTGGGAGAAACTAGTGTTTCCGGAACCTCTGGTTCGGCCACGACGGTGGGGACCATCCGGGCTGATGGCGAGCCGGGTGATGTGTCTCAAGATAGTGGGAGCGACGCCGGGGACGGGGGTGCTGACGGGGCAGTAGATGTTATTGATGCAGTCCCCCTGAATGAGCGTCCTGCTGATTATGATTCCGGAGAGGAAGCTGAATCTGGTTCTGATGTGGAGGTGTACGATCTGGGCATCCCCACGGATATGGAGCGCCACATCTGCCCGATCAGGAGTGCACTTGACCATGACCAAGTCCTCTCCCGCGTGGCCCTCAATAAAGTCCGTACCTTCCTTCCCCCGCCGTTCGTCTGGAGTGTGAGAGGTGCTGAGCATGTGATGAGAAGACGTCCGGGGATGATCATGCTCCATTTGGACTCTGTTGAAGCCGGGCTGCGGTTCCCGCTCCATCCGTTCTATGTGGAATTCTTCCACTGCTTCCAGGTGGCCCCGGCGCAATTCATGCCAAATTCTTACAGATTCATATCGGCCTTCTTGGTGCGCTGCAAACTTGCGGGGGTCGATGCCACTCTGGAGCTCTTCCATTATTTCTACCGCGTCACTCCTCAGAACGCCGACGGGTATCTGAGCGTGGCCGCACGTCCTGGGAGGCGGCTGTTCAAGAACTACCCTTCGTCCATCCACGACTGGAAGAACCGTTTTTTCTTCCTTCGATACGACGGGCCTCCTCTCCCTCTCCGGTGGAATGGGTACCCCCCAAAGATTGAGTCACCAGAGCCGTCCGACGATCTGCTTTTGGATGCGGAGAAGGTGTTGGAGGGTGGCGTCCGTCCTATAGCCGGATTTCTGACCTTCGAGGCACTCTCTGGGGCAGGCATAGGTACCGCCCGTGTCCCTGGACTTTTTCTACCCTTCGACGCTCGTCTCGGGGCACCGGGCGGTCCTGTCCTTCGAGGTGAGTGTCCTATTCTACTTCCCGTTCGTCTTCTGACCCTTTGTTGTTTCTTGCAGGTTCACCACCCGATAGAGACCAGATGAATCATGCCGAGTGTCTGAAGACGAGAAAGGCCAAGGCGGCCGCTGCTAAAGCCGCACTGGCGAAAGCCAAGAATGCCCCCGCCTCGGAGTCCAACTCCTCGGCTTCTGATGCTGCCCGGCGAACTGCCGAGGGGGAGCAACACCTGATTGCCACTATGCTGGCTCAGGGTTCTGGGGCCCCTGCTCTCGAAGCCGCCCTCCCGCCGCCGGTCGTCCCCACGAAGACGGCTCCTCAGAAGGGGACAGAGAAGGTCCCCGAAAAGAAACAGAAGCGGGGTCGGGAGGCAGGCTCCACTGGCCCCCTGCTTGAAGATGCCGGGTCCCTGCCCTTGAGCCGCCCGGCGGAAGAACTCTGGAGGGAGATGGCCCTCAAGGCCGGTCTCGAGCTGCCCCGCCGTTCGTCGTCTGAGGCGACAAGCGCTGCCCTGGCAGCCGCTCTTCAGGTAATCTCTCCTTGCTAGGCCTGAGTATACATATTTTTTCCTTGGCGTTCATCCTCTGATCCTTATCTTTTCTCCTGTCATCCAGTCTGGGCTCCTCGTCCTCCAAGCTGAGGCTGCCCGGGAAGCCGACCTGAAGGAGGCCAAGGCTAAAGCCGACGCGGCCATTGCTGCGGCTCGGGAGGCCGCTCGTCGAGCGGAGGCGGAGGCGGCTGCCAAGGAGAAGGAGATTGCCGCCCTGCGGGCAGAGTCCCGCCAGCAGCTGGCCAGCCTTGAGAAAGCTGGCTTCAAGCTTGTCCCGGTGCACCCTACTGCAAAGGATGCCAGTCCGGAGTGGCTGGTCGATACCTCCGGCTATCGGAACACCGGGGAGTTCATGGATTCCGCCAAGGATTACTGCGCCGGAGCCTTCGGTGACGTTTTCTCTGCGGCGCTGGAGAAGATCCCACCCCGGCAGCGTCTGGCGAGCGGGGTCCGGATTCTGGAGAGCTCCCCCTTGTCTCACAAGTTCCTCTACGAGGTCGGCGACAGCTCCTTCGCCGCTGGTTATAACGAGG